AAGCCGACCATTTAATTGTCCAGAATATGATTTTAAATGGCCGAACTTATAGAGAAATCAGTCTCGTATTGGAAAGCACATTTCCGGGAAGGAGAGGTATCGAGGTGGAGTGGCGTGGTGAGTAGATTTCCAATTCTACGCCAGGTCCTTAGTAATTAATGATTCCACGTATTTATTTGGCCGTTATTTGACAGACGTAAAATGCCATAATGTTAATTCGCGGAAATTTAAACACACTGATACTAATAGTGAATTACAAATTTGCCAAAAAAAACTAAATTTGCTATCCCATGGAAATAATTGAAATCAAAATATTTGGCAATATATTAAGTTTTGCGTCGCATGCACACGATTGAATTATCATATAAAATGGGCCTAATCTACTAATGTTATAATTATTTAATTGTAAGAACGAGTTTACATCCTGGAATGGCCACGATGTACCACGGATCATCATGTCTCCGAATCGCATATACTAGTAATCGACTTCACATCCAAAATGGCGATATGAGTTCACTAATTATTTGTATTCGTTCATATATCATGTCTAGGTTGCAGTTTCCCACTTGGTATGGAAAACGAATATATTCAAGCAGACCAGTTATCGTATTCATCGATATACAATGATGACCTGCCTACATATCCAAATCTCAATGGCAACCGTGAGTCGTTTTCTGTAGTCACATTTATTTTTCCACTCTTGGTCATGTGACTGAATTCACATGTTCATTTTATTTTAATCGTCGCATCCCTTTGTTTGTATGAGGAGTGTATACAACGTATGTATTATAATAGAGATTGTAAACTGCAGCACTTTCATTCATAACCACAATGTACACAACTGCGCATAGGTGTCCGACTCACCAGATATACTAGTATTCACAGAATGAGTCACCACATGAATTCATAAGCTGGTTGTAAACAACACGTGTAGATTCGTATGTAGATCATGAACGACACCGTGACGTGCGTTCAAATCTGATTAAAATAAGATCCTGGTTGACTTAATTTTTTGTATATATATATATATTTTACCTTATTTTAATTAGATTGTGTGTGTTCATAAACAAATTGTAAGCGACAAAGAGCTTTTCAATTATGAGACGGCTTTTGCATACCTTGACAGCACTATTATTTCCACAGAGCCATGGATAGCTGATTGGGGCGACTCGAAGCCTTACCTTAAGCTCGACTTGCTGCGCGAATATATTGTGGACAAAATAGTGACGCAGGGCAGTGGTTCATACTACTACTCTAGTTGGATCACCGAATACCGCGTATACTACAGTCTGGATGACTCCAAGTGGGATATATATGGAAAAGACGCATATGAGGTTATTCAAGCCAATACTGAGATGTATTCGGTCGTTGAGGGAGATCTTTCGCCAGATATCAGAGTAAGTGGATAGTATAATATTAGAACAGTGGCAAAGTCTGGCCAGGACACGCTGCTGTTTATGTCGCTGTAGTCACGGTACGGTGTTGACCTCACTCGAAGCACTCGGCCATTGAGGGCGCAAGTCTGACGACAGTGGGTTCTCTTTAGCACAAACATAACAAGTGCTAAAAATCGCTGAAGAGTGGATAATATAAGCCTAGGTTCTCTTTGAATTATTTATTTTATTTGTTTAAATAATAGCCAACGCTCCAGGGCTTTATTTAATTGTTACAAACCCCACAAAATTGATTCCTATACCAAACGACTTTTGCTTTTCACGTTTTGAGGATGCTTATTTTTGGAATCTTTGCATTTGAAACCAAAAAACAATTACGAATCCTCGGGCGCGGAGCTACGTCACAAGACGTTCCACGTTGCTAAGACGCGCAACACTGTACATGCATTTTTATGGGCTCTGTGCGCGCTGCTGTGGAACGCCGGTTTAGCCGGTGAAAATTCGAGAAAACAAACTCAACTTTGAAGTAATCCTAAACTCGGAAATGTCACACACAAATAAAATGTGGTGTTGCGCAATTTTTAAACTTATTCGTTCTAACGTGTATAAAACCAGAAACCTCCACTTTTTTGTTCAGTGAATTTAAAATTCTGCGCTTAATTTACGCACTCGCAGTCATATTTGAGCGCATATACCCGTGGATAATTAAATTTAATGGTGTGTTCTGTTGTCATAGGTAAGGTATTTAATAATCAATCCAATATCTTGGCGTTACTTACCAGCGCTTCGGTTTGAATTGTATGGTTGTGCACCGAAGACGGATACTCAATCAACGGACCATACAAATGTCTCGGGAAATATTCAGGTAATTGAGTTCAGTGAGTTCTATACCGGGTCATTAGATCATGTTGTCGCCATTACAATAATGCTAACCATAAAATGAAGAACAATTCTCTGGGAAAGGGTGACGCTAATGATTGTAACTTCATCCAAAACAGAGATGTTCTTTTGTTTCTACAAATATGTTCTAAACTTGAAATCGCGAAACATACATACTTAGTTGGATGACTAATATTTGTGTTTATGTGTTGAAGATATAATATATTTGTCAACATGTCATTGTTCTTTAGGGAGAGGTGGTATGGACTCTGCAAGGTAGTCCCTACATAATAGAAGGAGCGGTCGTAGTTGGTGCCACAGGTACACTAATCATTCAACCAGGTGTTAGTGTATTGTTTTCAACGACGGCATCGCAGTTGGAAGTGCACGGTAACTATAATTACATCTTAACTGAGATTCCGTGCCACGTGGAAATATTTGGCCCAGTACGTCATCAATGTCGGCATAATGCAATATGTATTTACCGGCAAAGTTACACATAGTAAATCGTGTATTGTCTCAATCAATAATTGGTACGGCTTTCTTTTTCAGGAATGTTGCTTGCCGTGGGTAGACCAGGTTTAGAAATTGAGTTTACTTCGATTGGTATTCCAATTCCTGGTCCAGTATCTAAATGGTCTGGATTGCACTTTCTTAATGGCTGTAAGTATTCGAAAACTCTATTTTCCCCGGGTTAGTTGAGTATGGGATTGTATAATTCGATATTAAATCACATAAAACTTATTTTACATCTTAGAAGCAAATTTGATTATCTCGTCAGTGCGAAACAGCCACGAAACTTGTACTTACCCCTCAAATAGTGTTCCGTTCTCGTTATCACGTCGTTTTATCAGTTACTATCGTTACAGTGATCAGTGGAACAAAACACGCTTTGACGAGAGAGCTTGCACTTTATTTGAGGGTCAAATACAAGTCTCTCGCTCTGAAACGAGATTCCAGTGGTCATTTGCTTACAATGTCTATTCGTATCGCATTCTATCCAAATATTCCATGGTTTCATTACATGTTTGTTTGTTTGTATTTTTGCTCTTCAATAAACTCTGCAAATATATCTCAAACTAACTTATTCCTGAAAACACGTTTCCCACTTATTAATGATGCGTGTGAATAAAATAAAAGTATAAAATGTCATTGCATATTTTTATCTTTCAAGACTCCAAACTTTCGAATGTCGAAGTTCGCCGGGCTAGCACGTGCATCCGAGTTCTTTCCGCTGATCACGTGGAGATGACGTCAGTGAGCGTGGGACAGTGCCAGGAAGACGGCATAGTGTTTGAAGACGGTCGTTCCGACCGAAATGTGACACTCGTCGATGTACACGTATCTGACTGTGGTGGTAAAGGCATATCCTTTTCTGGGTCCCAACTACGACCGTACTTCGTTGCCAGAAATGTGGAGTTAACTGAAAACTACATAGGGATGTATGTAATTGGTCAGACAGTTGTAGATATTCAGGGTGGCAGTATTTCCAGCAATAACAACGATGGCTTTATCACCAAGGCGACTGAAATCGATGCGTTGTTAGATGACGTCACCATCGAGGCAAACGTTCGTTATGGTGTTGCGGTTTACACAAATTACCAAAATGGTTTAAACTCTCTGAACTTGTATCTGTCGAACTCTCGCATTTCACGTAATAGTTATGCGGGAATATACGTATATTTTTACTTGAGTTTTATAAGGAGTTTTCACCAATGAACATCTGTTTAGCCAATAACACATTTGATGAAAACTCTTACCTCGGCTCTATTTACTTCTGGGGCATTAACCAGGTATCGAATGCCTTATTGACGATAGATATTCTGAATAATACATTCATTAATTCAGTTAATGTCGCTAATGAAGCTTGCAAAATTCATAACACCAACGCTGATGTTCATATAAAAGGAAACACATTCTCGAACAATCAAAATAGCTTGCAAATAACCCAATATAGCTCGCTCTACTTCCCTGATAAAAATATGACAACTAGGCTAGAAGTCAGTAACAACTATTTCGCAGAAAACAAATGTGTTTATTATCACGGAACGATTGTTCAGTTAAAAGTTTACAATTTCGGAATCATTGATTTTTCTGAAAACATCCTTACTGGAAACGAGGCTACATTAGCTGTATTGAGCATTGATTCGACAACTGTGGTCATCAGACGTAATGTCTTCAATAACTCACGGTCGAGCTACGATCTTTATACCGATGTTCCTTTCTCGGAGGCACAAGTTATCGCTGTTGGGTACAACTACTGGGGCTCTCCCGGGGATGAGTACAGTGACGTTCGAGCGCATGCACGAACGAGGGTTTGTGACTTTTTTACCGATATGGATCTAGGAATGTCGGATCTCTCGCCATATTACGTGGACGCTGAAATGACGTTATTTCTCATTGATACTAATACCACGGGGCGGTATTACACCGAAACAGAAGACGGATTTATCGGCGGTGAAATAGGCTCGTCGACAACAGTGACTATAGAGAACAGTACCTCACCATACGTTGTGGATAGGTCGATCTATATTCGCGAAGGTAGCTCTCTTCTTATTGAGAGAGGTGCGCAGATAGAGTTCATGGAAAACAGGGGGATTTACGTAAGAGGTCAGTGAAATAAAATCTTATAGTGTTTTTTTATTATTATTGTATGACTGTCTGTCGTGACTCAACCGTCCGTCCGCCCCGGCGTCAAATTTTCATAAATAAC